CCTCAATTATCTAATGATCCATCCCCTAATGTTTTCTATTCCCTACTTCAATTAAACCTTGTCAAGCAAAAAAACTCCCTAGTGTGATTGAAATGATTGACTTACATTTAAATCCAGGAATGGACTGCAGAAAGAGTTGAATACATCCACTCAGCAATATCAGTTCATATCCTAAAAATAAAAGAAATTGTTAAATACAAAACCCAAAACGTTACTATGATAATTAACAGCAATAACTAAAACACACCCCATATCAACAAAATGGTTAAAGTGCACCTTAAGCTTGATACAATACTTTCAGTATTGATTCTACATAAAGTGAACAGTTTAATGGTGTCAGAAATAATTTCTTCATTTGAATATTGCGTCTTTACGTTATGAGGGTTTATAGATCGTTTTCACTCACATGAGAAGGCAGCCGCATTGGTATACCAAACAATAGAAACTTTATGCGTAGTTTTTGCAAATAAATAGAGTTCAACTTCCCGAGGATAGAAAGCACATCGTCTTAGTAACCATCATGGCCTCTGTGACGTCACGTGAAAACACTCTTTACTTACTTACTATGTTACTAATTGTGTTACTGAATGTGACGTCATCCCAGGCTTTTGAGTGTATATATAGATTTGTCTCAATTTTTAATAATTGTCCATTATGAGACATCGAATTTACAATAAACATTGTGTAAACCTTGAGTACAATGATGATGCTTTTAAAATACTGTTTATGCAAACCAGTCAAAATTAGTATATCTAATGAAGCCTGGGGTGACGTCACAGTAACATATTGGAAGTATGAACCCTTATAACTTAATTAAATGCGCAACATTCAAATAAAGAAATACTTCACCATTCAACTATTCATTTGATGTGAATCAATGCTAAAAGTATTGTATCAGGGGCTGAGTGCACTTTAAATGTTACCTACCTCTCTTGACACACATCAATAATAGAAGCAATATGCCATCAAATAAACTACATTTTTTCAGATCTGTAAAATAAATTGAGTATCTTAGTATTGAATACTTTAGCCAAATCTTTAATTTCTAATAAAAGTAAGGACAAATGTAAATATACTTATTTCAATAAAGTTAGTCACCAAAAAACCTAGAAAGCCGTGATCGCTGAGAATCATGGGAAATATTTCATATCCAACAAGTAAAGCTTTTGACAAAAACTGCAGCAGTTGAGGATGCTCAGAGGAGGTGAGACTGTAACTGGTAGAAGATCTCAAGTCCATCAACAGTTATCAAGCAGTTGGAACATGTAAAATGTATCTACCCATAATGCTTGTCGGTCTCAGCTTTGTTGTAGCTTTCCAGGTGACTAACTTTATTGAAATAAGTGTAAACAATCAAAAATGATCAAATGACAAATCAATATGTACCTGAACATCTACTTATCGGCATCGTTGTTAATTACCTGAAAACATTAAAACATACAAGAAACACAGGGAAAAAACAAATTCACAATGAAATGAATTCAAATAAATTCAAAGTGCAATAAATTCAATAAAATTTTAAACGCAACAAATTCATTAAAACCAGTCAAAGTACGATAATAGATAAGTTCTAATAAATACTAAATTCAAGGTAATTCAAAGAGTAATAATATAAATTCAAAGTACAAATTCAGTAA